ATTACGAATACTATTTAAATAATAAAATATGTCAAACTAATGATTGCAAGACAAAGTTTATATACAGTATAATACGAAGCAACATAAAGCGCGATTCACCTTTCGTAAATGGTATCTTGAATGTTTTGTGTATCAGAGAATTCAAAACAAATATTAACAAATTGTTGACGAAATGCTAAATCGTATGGGATAGCTTTTTAAAATTTGATTTATTTGAATAACAGATCATCCACTTATTATTAACATAAATTTTTTTTTTAAAAAAAAAAAGAATTATGAAAACAAAATTCTTACAATTGATAGCATTCAAATACACAGTTTTAACAATTTCTCCGCACATTTTATTGTTATCTTCAAATTTATTCTCGTCTTCAAGCCCTGAAATTAATATCACATCTCCAGTATTTGATTTTTCCAAAATTGAAGATTTTGAAGAAATTCCTAAAATCTTTCGTCGAGATTTAATTTTTTCGATATAAACAAGCTCAAGTTTGAAATATTCATGCCATAGTTGAATGGAACTAGGATTTAAACGCAGGCTTCGTTGTAATAAGGCTAGTAGAAATATCGAGGATAAGCATAATATTGATAATATTGAGTTAAATAAATTATCAAGATAGTAATTGGCACCTCTGGAAGCAGTTATATTGGCATTAGCCTCAAACTCCCATTTTGCAGCGTGTATCCAGAATAAAGGCTTCGTTGGATGCAATTGCAAAGCGCTATTTTATGATATTTTGAAATTAGCAATAATAATTATTATGATTATTATTATAAAAAAAAAAGCCGGTTTACCTCCCAAAGATCTTACCAAGTAGCTTTCCAGCCCCTGTTGATTTAGCAAATTCTATATATTGCAACCATAAAGGAATATCACCTTTAAACTTTATAACTGCGCGATCAAAAATATGATATATCCTTCTGATAATCGCGTAATCTGATATTGATGTCTTTCCTTTTATTGCTACGTAGTTGATTGTTGTTAAAAATAGTTAGGATATTAACAAATTCATCGTAATAATATCTTTAATCTTTACCCAAACGTTCTTTACGTTTTTTTCTCAATTTTTCTAAATTCATTTCGTACTCTATATACTTTAGAAAATCATCTTTTTGGCAAGGCCGTTTCTTCAATGAGTATTCAAAATTTGTTCGTTTTCTAATGATGGATTTTATTTCTTGCTTTTGTTTATAAAATTATTAAATCGAAATCATTTTCAATTTCTTCGCCAACCACCAATGATTCCATAAATTCAGTTTAATTTAATGAAATTATTAAAAACCTTTGAAAATAATTCTTTACGTTCATAATCCTCAAGTTCAGGTACCATTTTTTCGAGATAATATTGTACTGTTTCCGCCATTTTAGATTTATAATTACTAATTTTTTAGCGATAAAAGTCTTTTTTGTACGATAATCTTTTTTTATCATTCACATGATTTGTCACATGTAAGATAAAAAAGTATCTGCTACGTACTATTGGCTCTGGCACTTGGTTCTTTACTAATGATTAGGGATGTTAAAAGTTCGGTTCGGTCCAGTTCGGTCCTGTTTCATAAAAGTTCAAGCTCAGAAACAGTCCGAAAATGAGTTCAAAAAATGTCATGTGAAAGTCACACTCAAGTTCCAAAAATATCATGTGAAGTAGGGATGGGCAATGTAATAATTATGTAATCGATAGCTAAAATTTAACCCTTACATATTTTTATCAATTTTTAAACTACGTATATCAATTACGTATACCAATTACGTATACCGATTACGCATATTTATATATAAAATTGTTTTTTATATGATTAAATAAAAAGATCGATTGCTTGAACGTAATAACATATTTAATAACAACAATGTCAAAGTGGCCCTTACCAAATTTGCAAATTCGACATATGCTTCGCGAACTTCCAGTTGGTTCCACTGGTCATCCGTTAGGCCCTCTTTGGCAGGCGTTTCATCCAATTAAAATTGATAAAAGGCTTAAAGCCAAATGCATATTTTGTAATCTTGATAAGCCTATATCTGGTTCTGCCACAGTAATGGGTTCTCATATTAAAAAATGTATGAGCATTCCTTTAGAAGTTCGAAACTATCTTATCAATGCTCAAAATTTTTAACAACAAAAACATTCTCATGATATGGAGGATCAACAAGACATTCAATCTGAAATATCAATTACGCCTTCTATGTTAGTTTCAAATTGTAAAAGTAGCAATCAACAATTACCATATGATATAATCAAATCCAATCAACTGTTATTAGAAGGTATAATTGAAGGCGGCGCACCTCTTTCTCTTGTAGATGCAAAAAAATTTAAGGAATTCATTTACTCTATAAATAATCTATATCATATTCC